GCTGGTGAAGAAATGAGATTTCAGGGAGAAGATCCTGGAGGAGATTTTTTTTCAAAAATGTATTTTATTTTTTAAAGAGGAACAATGGAAATGAGTTTTGAAACATTACAATAGTTGATACATTGTATATTGTCCTCAAGTAGTTGATACATTGCACATTGTCTTCCTAGTAGAGTACAAGATAATAGGCATTGTATCTTGCCTAAACAGTGTTAGCGCAAAATATTGAAGGAGCTGATAGAAGGTAGCTGTAAAACTATCGCAGCTGTCCTGAGTGTGTATATATATATATTTTTTTCTTTCTTTTTTCCTTTCTTTTTCCTAATGTAGTTTGTCTTTTCTTTTGTAGTTTTTTCCTCCAGTTCACCATGTCTGTTGTACCTTTTGGGTCCTATTTTCTTCTTCATTTGTGACATTCACATATATTTTGTGATTTATTTCACTTATGAGTATGGTCTAGAGTCACATCTGTTTACCTATAAAAGCCTTACTTATCCTTTTTATGGCTGAGTAATACTCTATTATACAAAAAATATTTTTTGCCCTCTTTGTTGATGGACATCTAAATTGTTTTCAAGATCTGCCTGTTACAAATTGTGCTGCTATAAACGTGAATACACATATATCACTGTGGTTTGAGATGTTTAATTCTTCTGGGAAGATTCCCCTTCAGAAGGGGACTAGCTGGGGTTTTTTGTTTTTATTTTATTTTTTATTTTTAGGGAAGGGTCTACAAGGTGTTCACTGTCTCACTACAAGATCGACTTGTAGTGATTCTCCTGTTTACAGCCTCCCAGAGCTGGGATTACAGGCGCACACCACCACGTCCAGTCTCAATTGCCATCTCAGTGCGCCCCAGGGGCGGGGCTGGCATGGCAGGCCTGGGGATGGAACCCCTGGTGCCTGTGTCTGCTTGCAGGTGCTTTAATCCACTGAGCTATTTAACTGGCCCCAGAATAGCTGCTTTGAATGGGACCTTTAATCCCATTTTTTAAAAGAATGGCCACACTGATTTCCACAGTGGTTGCAGCAGTCTTCACTCTCACCAGCAGTAGAGAAGGGTTCCTTTTTCCCACAGCCCCTCCAGCGTTCATTATTGGTTGAGTTTTGATGATTGTCATCCTGTAACTGAGATTATTGTTTACAACTCTGATCTAGAAAGGCCAAGACCTGGCAGAGGGGAAGTTGTGGCATTTGGATGTAGGAAATGAGGCTTGGGTATGGTAAGAAGCTGGCCTAGGAAGAAGAATGAAATGTGAGGCTATGTAGATTTTCCACCTGCAGGCTTGGCTGGTCCTTAAGGCTGCTGTCTGTGGACCAAGAGAAAGGTCATCCAGGTTAGTGGAACAACTGGACTCCAGAGCAGGCTATTGCTCTTTTTCTCCACTGCATCTAGGGCAAGAGGAGATGGACAGCTTAGTATTGTAATCAAGACCTGGGGCTGGCCATATAGCTCAGTGGACTAAAGTGCTTGCTTAGGCAGAGCACAGCAGCCAGGGTTTGATCCCCAGTGTGCCATGCTGGCCCCACCCGCAGGGTGTGTGAGACAGTGAGTCTGGGCATGTGGCATATGCCCATAATCCCAGCACTTGGGAGGCTGAAAACCGGAGGATCACTACAAGTCCAATCTATATAGTGAGACCCTGTAGATCCTGCCCCCTGTACTAAATGCATAAAAAAAGAGAGAGACCTGGATGAGCTCCTTGTTGCAGAAAGGACTCGTAGTTGACCTGTCCCCTCAGGTCCTCCCTGTAGCTCATTGTCTTAAAGGTGTATGAAACACTTACTGATGCAAATACCAATGGCTGAGATGGAGTACGTGAGGCTGTTTTACCAGTATAAACCCTGCGAGATAGAGAGAGACCACTCTTACCCTCTAAAGATGAGGCGTAGGGAGATTGAGGTTTTTTAAAGCCATAGATCTGCTACGAAGCTCTTAAGCACTGAAGTATGATGAGCTGTATTTATGCAAACCCATTGAGATCAGGTTTTTTTGTTCCTGAGGTAGGGCAGAGAGGGGCTAGTCTAGCTCAGCCTATGAGATTCTAACAGGGTTTCAAACATGGTGGCATATTTCTCATGGCTTCTCTCTTCCCACAGAGCTAACTGACGGTAGCAGAAATGGATCATGAACAGGTCAGTAGAGGGTTTCCTACCTTACAGCAACTCTTAACTGCCTTTAAGATGGCCTTAGCGTCCCAATGTAGGGAAAGATGGTCCCTGGACTCTTGTACTTCTCCCTGTCTTATGTATGAAGACTCAGTGCTTCTGTGAGGCCGAGGGTCCTGCATTCAAGTGTTGAGCTGAGATGGATCAGCACTGTTCATGGGACCTGGAATGCTTACGTGGTTGGAGGCAAGGCAGAGGAAGCCAGAAGTCTGTATGTGGTAGGTATGTGGGCAGGGAGTGGGATGGCGGAGACCCAGAGACCAGGCCTGGAATGACTGCGGCTTTGGGCCTTAAATCTGGGCTACAGAAGAGTTGAAGGAAGAAAAGATGATGCTGTGCCTGAGACTTCAGAGGTTCCTTCTGGCTTAGGGTGTATTTTGAACTAAAATTGTTTGTTGTATGAAATAGGAAGTAACCTGGGGAGATGAGATGACAGGGGGAGTTGGGAATGTCCTGATTTCTGATCTTGTTTGGAAGAATGGAAGGTGTGTCATCAACTAGGATGGGGGAAATCAGTAGTGTGAAGAATTTTCAGAGGGAATGAAGGAGTGAATTTTGTCCATGCTACAAATATTGCAGATAGTCCTGGTGAAGGAGTGTGGGTCAGAGACATCCACAGTGTGGTGGCTGGCATGTGGACTGGAGGGTAACGGTGGGAAGAGGTTAGGAGGCAGCACCTCTGGGTTATCATGGATGTGGGTGCTGTGGGGGAAAGGAGACACGGTAGTCGTGTTGCTGATGTTTAGTTGGGGAGAGGTGACAGTAGGTGTGGCGGAGGTTAGTGCAGCTCAGTTTTATATGAGGTTTTAGAGACCATTTACTGGACAAGAGGTGTGCTAGAGAGGCTCGAGATGGCCAGGGGTGAGGTTTCTACCTAGGTTTGACTAGCCTTGGTGGAGAACAAGGGCAAATGGGGGACCCTCAAAGCAGGGGTTTAGGCTGTCCCTGCTTTTAGGGCACTTTGGTGTCCTGGGACAGGACTGGGGCCGAACTGGATAGAAGTGTATTTGCCATGTAGCACCTGGTTCCTGTGTGCAGCATGGCCAGCCGGGAGGGCAGGGACACATCTGTGGTGTGGGCTGTGAGGGCAGCAAACCACCAGAGTGAGGTGCTGGAGAAGGGTGTGGGTGGTTAACCCTCGATGCTGCGTTGGGTATGCAAGAAGGCCGGTCCTGAGTGCGGCTGTCTGGGACGTGAGCTCTGGAGGACACCAGGGAAATGGCTGGTGGCAGGGTGGAGTCTGTGTGGCGGCCCCTACTAGATGCTTGGCTTTTCTCCCTGTGAACCAGACTTGCTGACCAGTGGAAACGAGAGAAAAGGCACCAGTGCCACCAGGACGGGCATCTGATCCACACTGGGAAGGGGGAGGCGATGAGCAGTGGGCGGGTACCAGGAGAAGGAGTGAGAATGAAGAGAGAGGAAGGGGTAGTGGTGTTAGGGTTGTACTCATGGGTTTTAGCGTGTGGACGTGAGTGTAGGCAGTGACACAGAGCGTGTTTGTCCCTTCCGTTTCCTGAAGGGTGCACAGCGTGCAGGGGCCTGTGGCACAGAATTGCCTTGGCACAACACTGAGGTTCCATTCTCATTTCATGAGAATGGCTCTCATCAGGAAGTCAGCCAGTAAAAATGCTGGAGGGTATGTGGGGAGAAAGGATCCCTTCTCCACTGTTGGTGGGAGTGTGGAATGGTATAACCACTGTGGAAGTTAGTGCGGAGACTCCTCAGAAAGCTAGAATTAGGGGCCAGGGAGATGACTCAGTGGAACAAGCGCTTCCATGGCAAGCGCAAAGGCCTGAGTTCAATCCCTGGTTCCACAAAAAAAAAAAAAAAAAAAAAAAAGCTAGAATTGGAGGTCCCATTTGACCCAACTATTGTTCTCCTGGGTATTTTTCCAGAAGAACTAAAAACATCATGCCACAGCCGTGTGTATGCACCCGTGTTGGTAGCAGTGCAGTTTGTTATAGCTAAATCTGGGAGTAACCCATGTGACTGTCACCTGAAGCATAAATGAGACGGGTAATTTATACACATGGAACATTACTTAGCTATAAAAAGAAACTCGAGGCTTTTATAGGTAATTGCATGTAACTTGAGACCATATTCGTAAGTGAAATAAATCAGACCCTCACGGCAAACTTCGTATTGTCTCCCTCGGGCAAGAACCTGCAAGAGTAAATAAAATCTGAAAGGTGCAATAAAGTCTGTGGAAGGGAATGGATTTGTTGAAAGAGGAAAAAGAACTGGGATGAGGAAAACAACAAAAGAAAAAATGGAAAAAGATATATTTATGTATACATACAAGACAGCTTAGATGATTGTACTGCTGATTTCTGCTGGTCTGTTGAAAGGAGAGGTTAATGTTTAATTTTTTTCCCCTCTTTTTAAATTTCTTTTAGCTTTTTTTTTGACCAATTTTGCATGCTTATATCTGGCAATCTAAACTAATTTGAAGACAACATTATACAACCTAACAGCCATTGTTGAATTCCTATTATTTTGTTCAGTGAAATTCTGTATGGTTTCTATTTTTTTATTCTTTACTGTCTTTTAATCTCTTTAAAAAAAAAAACAAAAAACAAAAACACTTGTGAAAAAAGAATGGCCTGTGTGAGGAGGTATACTATGGGAGCGAGGGGGAGCTGAGGTCGTGGTCTTCACTGGCCTCAGCAGGAAAGCCTGAGCAGAGCAAGGTGGCCTGCTTAGGCTTGGTGGGAGCTGCCCCTGGCGGTTCGGTGCTTGCCCTGGGTTGGTGTGGGATGAGGGAAGCAGTGGCTTGGGCTGTGAAACTAAGATGAAGAGGTCGTTCGGGATACGGCTGGGAGGTGAAGAGACCGAGCTCTGAGCCCTTCAGTCACTGTGGCCCAAATAGGTGAGTCTAAAAATGGAAGAAAGTGGCATCACCAAAACCTGCACATTCACTGAACTGTCTCCACTGTGGCAGGTCTGTGTGGACTTCGAGGATGTGGCTGTCTACTTCTCCCAGGAGGAATGGGGCCACCTCAGTGAGGCCCAGAGAATCCTGTACTGTGACGTGATGCTGGAGAACCTGGCGCTTCTGTCCTCACTAGGTAAGGCCCGTGCACCCACTCAATGTGCTGGTGGGCCGAGGTGTCCCTGTTACCCAGGGGCCGCTCTTTCTTCCTGCATCCTGGCCATTGCAGAGTTCCGGTCTCCCGGTAGCTTGCTATGGGAGATGTGGAGCTCTGGATTTGCACCCTTCTCCCTGTGCTACCCCATCTCTTGCTGCTTTGAGGGCTTGCAAAAGATGACTTGAACCAGAAATGCTGTGTTCCTCTAGGAGAGCCCAGTGCCCTGCCTACCCCTGGCCGGGTGCCCCTGTCCATGTGTGTGGAGGCTCTGTGCTTCAGGTTGTACCCTGGTTCTTGCTGTGCTTTTCTGGTGTCTTCCTGCACCAGGAATGTCTGACACTGACCTGGTCACCAGTTGGAGACCACGAGACTGATTCTGCAGGACTTTCCTGTGACGTGATTATAGCACGTGGCATGCTGTGGGTGGATCCCTGCGTGCATTCCTCACCCACCCCCTTTTCCCTGCCTTTCCCCCTGGAATGGCCTCTTCCAAGCTCCACCCAAGTCACTGAGTGATGGGGAGGTCTTGATGGTGGCTATGAATAACAGTGAATGTAACAGCGTTTCATGGGGACGTGGTCCTGCTGCCAGGGACTTGAGAAATGGCTTCATATGAGCACTTGGTTTTGGTCACATTGGGAGCCTTTCCTACACCTCCCGCTGTTTGATGCCAGGACCAGTGGCCGGCCTCATTTCCACCTTTTCTTCCTCGCCGTCTTGGGCTTAGACTTCCTGCTGCTGTGTATCCGCGGTCCTCTGTCCATCTGCTCCTCCCCATGCTCACTTTTGTGGCAACCCCTCGCCCACTGTCTCTGCTGCTCCCTTGGCAGGACCTGCAGCACATGCTCTCTGCTTGTGGTGCAGTGTGGTGTGCGTGCATCACAGTGCTCCTTGGACGCCCCTGAGCTCTCAGAGCAGAAGCTCTGCGTGTGGACACAGCCTTCTGCACCCTGCTCCCTCGTCACCAGCAGCAGCAGCCAGTGAAAGCCTTTGTGATGAGTGGGGCAGAGAACATGCTTCTTCCCCTTGGTACCTTTGTGTCCACAGTCATCAGCGGGGTTCCTGCACAGCAAGCCTCCTCTCACTGGCTTTTTGTCCAGCTCCTAACAGGAAGTCTATGAATTTACTGTGCATGCGTGATGCACAGCTGAAATGAGGGTGTCCTCCCACCCAGGTTAAGCACGCACCTCACCAGCACGTTCTCTTCTTACAGGTTGCTGGCATGGAGCCAAGGGTGAGGAGGCCGTTCCTGAGCAAGGGATTTCTGCAGGAGGATCACAGGTTACCGCTGCAAAGCCAGAGTCACCCACTGAGAAGACCAAGCCTAGGGAGACATGTGACCCACTTGTGAAGGATGTTCTGCTCCTAGCTTTGCACAGTAGAACGCAAACTGAGCAAGACATGTGTCTTCGTGAGGCAAAGCTTTACTGGCCTCCAGAGCAGACTGGAGAAAATCTTTGCAGGAGGGACAATTGGAAAGATTCATTTTTGAAGAACTGCAGAGCTCGTATGGCAGAGAGGACCTTCCCATGCCAGAAGGGATGGAAGGAATTGCCAGCTACTTCAGGCCGTTTCCAGCGCCAGCTCCCTCACTGTGGGCGGAAGCCCGACAAGGAGACTGAGGGCAGGGAGGCCCTTCAAGCCGGACTCGACAATTACATGTGCAGTAAATGTGGGAAACCCTTCAGAAGCAAGTACTTGCTTGTGAAGCATGAGAAAACTCACGCAGGAGAAAGGCCGTATCAGTGTACCAAATGTGGGAAGTTCTTTAGGTACACTGCCAACTTCAGGAAACATCAGAGTATCCACAGAGGAGAAAGGTCTTACAAGTGTAGAGATTGTGGAAAATCATTCATGTACAACTATAGACTCCTGAGACATAAGAGAGTTCACACTGGAGAAAGGCCTTATGAATGTGACGTGTGTGGGAAATTCTTTAGGTACAGCTCTACCTTCTTTAGACATCAGAGAGTTCACACTGGAGAAAGGCCTTACAAGTGTAGTGTATGTGGGAAGTTCTTTATGGACAGTTCCACCCTCATTAAACACCAAAGAGTTCACACTGGAGAAAGGCCTTATAGGTGCAGTGAATGTGGGAAGTTCTTTAGATACAACTCCACCCTCATTAGGCATCAGAGACTTCACAGTGGAGAAAGACCTTATGAGTGTAGCATATGTGGGGAATTGTTCAGGTACAACTCCAGCCTTGTTAAACATTGGAGAACTCACACTGGAGAAAGGCCTTACAAGTGCAGTGAATGTGGGAAATGCTTCAGGTACCACTGCAGGCTCATTAGACATCATCGAGTTCACACTGGAGAGAGGCCTTATGAGTGTAGTCAGTGCGGAAAATTTTTCCGGTACAACTCCAACCTCATTAAACATTGGCGGAATCACACCGGAGAGAGACCTTATGAGTGTAGGGAGTGTGGGAAAGCCTTTAACCATAAACATATACTTGTTGAGCACCAGAAGATCCACACTGGAGAGAGACCTTATGAATGCAGTGAATGCCAGAAGGCCTTCACTAGAAAGTCCCACCTGGTTCATCACCAGAAAATCCACAATGAAGAAAGGCTGGTGTGCTCTGTGAATGTGAGGAGTGCTTTCGGTACAACTCCAGCTTCATTAAATATAAGAGATATCACCGTGGAGAAAATTTACTGTTGACTTTAATTGGATGGTGTTTTCTGAATTCCCCATTTTACTGGCGGCTAAGTTAATCTCTAGAACTTTTTATCTTGCAGAAGTAAAACTTCACATTAAGTAAGAATGCCTCATTTCCTTCCTCAGCTGGCCCTGGGTACTGCTGCTCTATCGTTTGTATCTGTGAGTTGGATACCTTTTGCTGTTTTATAGGTGGGATTATACACTGTGCCTTTTTTGTGACCAACTTCCTTCACTGAGGCTGATGTTCCTAAGGTTCATCCATGTGTGACATGTCAGATCTATTGCTGGAGTGAAACAATATTCTGTGATACGGGTAAACCATATTTCTTTATATCTTTATTGATTAATTGGTTCTTGGGTAGTTGTAAGCTTTATATTTACTTAAATGTATTTTATCCTTTTTGCGGGGAGGGGCAAAGCCTTTCCGTATTGCTTCAGTCTCCTGTGTGGCTAAGACAGCACCCTGCAGTTGGGGGTAGCTTCTGAAGAACAGGGTTGGTTGCTTGGCTTCCAGGTTCGAGGACTGGCCTGAGTGATCTGGGTTGGCTAGTCTGAGGCGTGCGCCTCAGGGCCTGGCATTCACTTGTTTTTATATAAGGTGTTTGGCAAACCTCCATTTTCATGCTTTCCAAGCTCCAGCTCCATTTATTGAGAAGATTCCTTTTTTTTTTTTTTTTTAAATTTTATTTTTTATTTTCACTTATTTTGCATACATACTTGGTTAAAACTCAGTGAATACTAGGCCTGGTTCGGGTAACTAAGAGCCTTTATAAGTGGTTTATATTGTCTGGATCCAAGGTATGCAGCAAACACGGTCTGAAGTAGAAGGGGAAATACCATGTTTCTGAAGACAGGCTTTCTAATCCAGTACATTAAGACGTTGCCTTTCTCCGGCGGCAGGGCTGATTGATACCTGGCTCCTCGGGCACCATGCACAGGTAGGCCCAAGAAAGCAGGGTACAGTCCAGCAAAAACTAAAGCAGTCAGTCCGTGTCATGGGACAGGTTTCGCAGTTCAGATCACCCATACTCAAAGGTAAGCTTACGAAACTTGCGCAAGAGGCATTTGCTGGCGAAACAGGATCACTGCCATTGGTGAGCCAGCAGCTGTATGAGCCCGTGTCACATGCAAGGTGCGCCGAAAGACTGCTACTAGAGAACAGCATTAAGTCCGATATATACTGATCCATGTTCGAGTAGGTTCCTGTCTGTTTCTGGAAGTTGATTAACTTTTCTGACTATAATATTAATTATGTTTTCCTTGATAGTATCATCTGATTTAGGATTTTCCATATTGAGCCTTGTACACACCTCCCGCCTGTTCCCTCCACCACACACAGTTTACTGCAACCTTTGCTCCCCTCGCCAGGGTGCAGCCATTTTTGGGGAACATGTGACTCCCTGAGGACACTGCTTCCAGTTCAGGATCTTGTTATGTAGCCCACACTGTCCTTGACCTCCTAGTGATGCTCCTGCCTCAGCCTCCCAAGTACTGGGATTACAGTCATGCCTACCACACCTGGCTTTTTTGTTTTTCTTTTAAACAACAACTGCCTTGAATCCCTTTGGAAACCTAGACTGGAGGCCTGCCGCTTCCTCTGTTGGAGAGCTGCCCGTGCGTCTACCCCCATTTCAGGCCTTTCTTGGGCTCTCAGCGCTGGGCACTGGATGTCAGCCCACATAACCCGGGCTAGTCAGTGCTCGGACCTGGGAGCCACGCTCACCCGGCCCTGTTGTCTCCATAAGCTGCCTGCCGCCTTCAGGTTGCAGGGCCTCCAAGATGCAAGGCTGGCCGTGCCTGGAAGCTCTCTTTCCTTGCTGTAGACAGTAAAGAGTTCTGTATTTCATCTATCTGAGTGACGTTGTTATGTCTTGCTGTGAAATAATTTTTGTATTGTGTAGGAAAGGGTAGTGAAATGCAGGGGCTGGGGGCTTGGCTCAGTAGTGGAGCACTTGCGTAGCATGCCCAAGGCCCTGGGTTCTGTCCCTACCACTGAAAGAGGAGAGTAGGATGTTAAATGTGATGGCACATATTTGTGCTAGCTGAGGAGACTTAGGCAAGAGGACTGCAACTTCAGGCCAGCCTGGGCAAGTTAGCAACTTAACAAGTCTCAGAAATAAAGGGCTGGGGTATAGCTTAGAAGATCCTGGGTTCAGTCTGTATTGGAGAAAAAAGCTGGGCATGGTGGTACTTAGGAGGCTGAGGCGGGAGGATTGCTCCAAGTTCAAGGCTAGCCTCACACAGCAAGACCTCACACAGGAGAGGAAGGATGGCGCGAGCGTTGCAGAGTCAGCTGCTGCCTGCCCACGTTCAGCCCCAGCAGCTTCTCGCTGGAGAGTGGCCTAGCACGCAGGCACCTTGCTCTTCCCCTGTTTGCCTAATCAAGTAGAAACTAGGAATGAGCTTTCCAATGAGAGTGACAGCAACTGAACGCTCACGGCAGGGTATACTTGGTGTCACCAGACACACAGGAGACTTGTGAACTGTCTGCCCCTTGGATTTGCCTGACGTCTCTGCAGTTATTTCACTGTTACTGTCTGTGGCAAAGGTCATTGCCTTCTGCCATCTGCCCAAAAGCCACAGGATGTGGCATCATCCCATTAAAAGGCTGAGGCACAGGCCAGGCGTGGTGGTGCATGCTTATAACCCTAGCTCCTTGGCAAGAGGGTCACAGGCTCGAGGCCAGCCTGGGCAGTTTCGCAAGGACCCGTGGATCTCGGTGTGATCCATTCTCCCTGGGGAGAAGTAGCAGGAATGAGGACAAGGTAGCAAGAGAGAAGCCCGGTTAGGCAGTGACTAGTCTGCCTGGTTGGCAGGACCACTCCATTAGCAACAACGTGGACATTTATTTATACCTTTGCAAGTTAGTTAACGCTTGACAGAAGGTTGCCGAGTGACTAGTGGGCAACATTAAGCATTCAGGACGGTTATCTCAGGACTGAGGTAGCTTGTTTGCTTTAGGCACTGAGGCCGTCTCCCCTACACACATTTGACTAATTTTCCAGCTTCTGTGGCTCCTGACACAATTTAGCAAAATGTCTCAAAACATAAAAATAGCTTGGGATGTATCTCGGTAGAGTGCTTGCCTAGCATGTGAAAAGTCCTGGGTTTAGTGCCCACTACCATCAGAGCAGCCCCCAACAAGAACAGAGAACTCCAGAAGGTTCAGACATGGCATTATCGTGGCTGACCCTTTGTCTGGAATGATCCTTTGGTCGTTTTGGGAGCCTTATTCCCTTGCTCGTGGTTGGTTTGCTGCGGATGTCAGCTTTGGACAGAAGACGGCCTCTGTTGGCTAGGAGCTCACAGAAGTTTTCTTAGCATTACTAATCATCGTGTGACTTTGAGGCGGGGTCTCCCTTTGTGCTTCAGGCTGACTCGAGCTCAGGCTGGTCTGGGACTTTTGGTGTCTCCCCCTTAGACTTGCTAGTGCTGGGGTCCAATTGGACATAACCACACCCAGCCACAAGGAATAGGTGATTTCAGTTTATTCTCAATGTTGATTCAATTCCAGATGAAATGATGTCCCTTCCCAGCAGTGAGCGGAGCCATCAGTTCCCAACTTTTACCTTAAGGTGAGGAGGTCTTCTTTGAACATACAGTTCAACAGAAGACCACAATTGATCAGTCAGAAAGTGGTGTAAGTCATTCTTTTTCAGATAAGTGTTGTGTGTTACGGGTCGGTGCCGAAAGAAACGACGAGAAGACCTGACGAATGTAGCTTCAGAGGTCTCACTGAGATTAGTCTCTCTCCAAGTGAGCCCCGAGCCTCAGAAGCATCTCACTTTTATTGAGGGGTAAAAACTAAGGAATGTGTATAATTACCTAAGTGAATATAAACTATTATCTCTAGTGACTTCCCCCATTTGCCTAACACTAGGTTCACACAAATGCTAGCCAATAACATCCCAAACAAGGGATCAAAGGACAGAGCGCCTGCAGGAGAAGCTGTTACCTGCTGCTTTGGGTCCCAGCTTTCCGGGAAATTTGCAAACAGACAGCAACCCTCCTCGGACTCAGTCCAGTGTTCCCCACTCTCTTGGGACATCAGGCTTTTGTCTCAAAACTATATCTTTACAATTCCCCGCTTTTGTTTTTATGCTGAAAGTTTTTGCAGCATCAGGGCGAGGACTGCTGATTTTTGGTCCATGGCTTGTTGCCGGACCCGTCCTCGTCGCCAGACTAAGCAGGATACACAAATAGTACAGAGACAACATAGACAAATCACTACTACACTTCCACTAAACCATGGAGTAACATGGAAAGGATTAAGGTTTTCAATGTCATTCGAGATGCTTTGTAATAGATCAGTGCCAGACAATTCTGACAATTGTTTTACAAAGTATTATCAATATGTTGTTGAAGAGACAGGATCTCAGAGGTAATATTACCACAATGCAATAAATGTCTTTTTGCATTTTCCCATGGGAAATGAGTCTGATTCCATGGAATTGGAGTTATACAGAATTAGGAGATATTCCAATCACATTTTAAATGAAGTTGACGTTGTAGATTAACAATTTGATCTCCTAGCATAACAACAGCTTGCTCTATATCATTTATCTTTGCATCTAACTCTGAGTCTATGTGTCCTTGAGAAGTCCATAATTGTTCTGAGTCCTTGCGCCACTGCTGCACAAGATGAACAGTTTGTGCACCTTGGCTCAATGCTACCCTGGCTGTAGCAGCTGTGGCTGTGATGGCGATTATGTCTAAAATTATGGCTATCACGAGTTTAATCATTCTTTTCGTTCTCTTTTTTAACACCTCCAGCAAATGTTGGAACAGCATCATGGAAGGGGAGTCTTGCCACAGGCGATGCAGTTGTACAGGAAGCCAAATTCCGGTCCTTGCCCTGAGAATATAGATGCTATCCCTGGAAAAATTAAGGCTAGTAGAAGAGTTTAGACATGTATATAAAGAACAGTGGTGACATGTGATGGTATAGTTAGAAGGGTTCCAATGACTAGGTCCTACAAGCAACAGGTAAGGGAGGTGAACACATGCCTGAGCAAAATGCGTTGTGTTCCTTTTAAATTTTAGATGTAAATTATTGGAGGATTGATTCCTCCATTTAAAACCTTTTCACACTGACATATGATTTAATGAGGTAACCAGTTTCCAAAGATGATGTTGAATTGGTCCTCCAGAAACATGACATACCTAGGGGACATACCTCCTCCGTGCCACATTATTGTATCATTGGCATTTCTAGTGCTAGTATAGATCTCATCGCTGCCATTCCGTTTCCATCTTAAGTTCTTTCCTTCTGTCGTCCGGGCGGAGCCATAAGGGCTCCAATCTATGACACTTCCATAGGAAGTATTAACCAACACCCGGGCTGCTTTTCCTCTACAGACTTTCCAATGTACCCAATCACTGAGATAAGCAACATTGGTATTCTGGCAGGGTGGCAGATCTGGCAGTGGAAACGTTCCATCAGCAGCTATACCTTTAAAATTTTTTATCATTGGAGAAGAAAAAGTCCCTTTTATCCTCCCTTACCCCCAGTATTATTATTTACTATAGATAACCAGACTCATGTGCTTGCTTTTAAGCAATGAGCTCCATTCCCAATACAGATAGGCCAGCCTTCT